AAAACAAAAACAAAGGAAGGAAAAGGAAAGGACAAATGCTAGACTAGCCATCCAGCAAAGTCCGCATCCTGAAGTCTCATCTGTAACAATAAAATAATGCATAGTTCACTGTTAACAATACCTTGCAAAATGCTAAATGCTGTACAGTGATGGTGAACTATTTTATTATTTCAAAGATATTGCTGTTTAATGTAGTGTCTCTCCATCAAGAATGATTTTAACTCGTAAGAAATTCTTGGCAAGGTATAGGAACTTTTTGTAATGTAGAAAAGGAAAAGTTTCTTCTACCTTCTCAGGTGCAGTACATGGGTGGCTGAGAATTACACTAATAAAAGGTAGTTCAGTAAATGAAAAGACAAAAACTAAACTGATGTTAGCATTTTTGTGTTCATGGGTACTTCCTAGAAATTAGGTGAAAAATCGAAATGAACAATTATACTCAGAGTCTTATATATCATTTTTCCTTTTTTATTGAACTTTTTGTGATTTTCATATCATTTTATAGTATTTAAATTCCCCATCCTCCCCTCACTGCCCAGCACCCAATTTAATGTATATATATACATATATATGTACATATATATATACACATATGTAGCAGCTTATAGAGTATGATTTGTGTCCCCAAACGTCCTTCAGTGTGGATCCATCCAGTAGGCCTGAAAAGTTCCATTCATATAAGAAACTATTTTTCCCCCTCCTAGCAGCCATCAATTGTAAGAAGTTCCTTAGGTTGTGATGTGTTTCCTACCCACTTCCCCACTGCAATTTTGTCTGGTTTGAGCTTGCTTAGGACTTGTGCATGATGTCACCATTTCTGAGAGTTCATATGAGCAACTTACCAGTTGTCTGGGAGAGAGTATCTTATACCATTTTAACAAAGAGTCAAAATGTGGAAAGTGACTAGCAAAACAGAAACAGTTTTGGATCCCAGAGGGACAAGTTAGGTGACTAGAAAATAGACAGTAGGGAATGCATAAGGAGATACGAATCTGTGTGTGAGAGAGAATTTGAGTTTATATGTGTGTGTGTGTGTGTGTGTGTGTGTGTGTGTGTATGTGTTTATGTGTGTGTCTAACAATTATCTCTAGATGTCTCTAGAAGCCAGCTTTGGTGATCAGAGTCATTCAATCCCTCTTCCTAGTGTGGGAAGTAACTCCTTTTAAAATGAAACGTTTCTTTAAATATGGGAATTTCCTTTACAGAGGGAAATTTATGCCTGATTTTATTAAAAGAATAGACAATCAAAGGGTCCCTGCTATGGTTTACTGAATGCTCAGCACAGTCCCTAGAACAAAGAGGTTTATTTTGACTTGTCATTATTTGGTTCCTTTCAATAATCACACTTGAGAGCTGTAGTTTCTCATGGCATCTCCAATGGGCAAAAGCCCGGAGTGCTGCTAAGTCCTTCAAGGCCGAGTGCAGCCTTTCTCTCCATTTAGTGCCCTCAGCCTGACCTAAACAATAGCACTTAGGAAATTATTCGTATAGTGTGTACTAGTTTCAGAGGCAGAGGCAGGTGAATCTCTGAGCTAGAGACCAGCCTGGTCTACATAGAGAGTTCCAAGACAACTGGGGATACAGGGAGAACCTGTCTCTAAAAAAACAGGAATATTATATTAAAGAGTGAGCAAGAATTTCTAGAGAGAACATATTCTGAGATTCAGAGAAGGAAAAGTGATACTATAACTCCTAAAAGTAGCCTTAAACTCAGAAGACAGAGAGATGACATTGAGCAGAAGCAGGGATGCTGGTATCAATGAAAAATGTTTAATATGTAGTGACAGGGAAATTACTCTATCATGAACAGGAAGAAATTATTGGTTAGTAAACTTTGAAAAAATTATACCTTTTAAGAAATATTTTATTTGCTATTTTTGTTTTTTGTGCATGAATGCAATGCCTGCATGTGTGTAAATGCATCCATGTCATGCAATGCCCATAGAGGTCAGAAGAGGGCATTGCATTCTCTCGAAATGGGGTTTTGGACTATGATTAGCCTCCACGTGGGTGTTGGAAATTGAACCTTTGTCTTCTGCAAGAGCAGCCAGTGCTCTTAATCCCAAAGCCATCTCTCTAGTCCCAAAAAATCTGTATGTCTAAGGTATGCAAATATTATGGAATAAAAGAACAGAAGCAAGAAAAAGACCATAAAGTTAAGGGAAATGCATTATTCTCCCATTTGTCCCCTTGGTAGTTCACACAGTCTGTTATGCCAGTCAGATCAAGGCAAACAATGGAGAATAATCATATTTAACTGTCATCTCCTCATGAGACTCAAAGTGAGCCCCTCTCCTTTGGTCATAAGAAAGCTGGAGACTCATCTTCATCCTTTATTTTGACTTTTCTACTTCTTTGTAAATCTGCTTTTTTACATGTGGGAAGAAAGGAGAAATTCTATCACATAACATGTAACTTTTTTATGTATTTACCTATTATTAGGTTTTTAAATTAAAGAGACAAATAGGCTTCTCCTTGCCCTTGCAAGCAAAGCTCTATCTAAGCAAGAGAAAGTGAGCACATAATACCTTGGAGCTGATCGAGGCCTTTCCAGGGAAGGCCCGAATCCTTTTATTCAGATCCTTGCACTCTCTATTCGGATGAAACTGGCATTAGTGAGTTATTCCAAGAATGCTATATAGAGACTGGGACAAACATATTTAGTCTGTTAAATGCTTTTGTAGTCCTTCCCATGTCCTGTCAAAGATAGGTGTTAATAATAGGATTTCTGTGAATTTGTGGCAGGCTGGGGCTACATAGCAAGATGTTATTTCACAAAACAAAACAAAACAAAACAAAACAGAGGTCAAATACTGTCCTAGATTTCTTTGTATTGCCATTTCTGTCAATCAACTTGTTGATTCCAATCACCTAAGCAAGGCAAGGGACATCTGTCTTTCAAAATTTTCATTTACACTCTGTGCTATAATTTTCATATCCTTATGATACTTTCTTCAATCTGCATCTTTGTTTTATTGTAATCTTTCCCATTATTTAAGATCCATACTCAGGGGCTGGAGAAATGGGTCGGTGGCTAAGAGCACCGGCTGTTCTTCCAGAGGACCTGGATTTGGTTCCCAAGAACAACATGACAGCTAAAAATTATCCATAACTCCAGCTCCAGGGAATCCTACACTCTTCTGACCTTGCAGGCATTGTATGAATTGTGGATACTTATACATATGCAAGCAATACACACATCCACATAAAATAAAAATAAATATTTTTATAAAAGATCCATTCTCAGAATAGCATCTTATATATCCTAATTGATTTTTGCATCCTCATTGTATGTCAATGTCTCGCCAACATATCCAACCAGCAAAATATTTTCAAACCAACAGAGTCAAAGTAAATTCAATGTTATTGCATCTAAAGATTGTAATGCTTAAAACTGTCATTAAGCTGTCATAATTTGGACTTTCATTTTCATATTTTATTTTTCTCTAAAAAGTTTTGTTATTATTATCTTCTAGTTGTATAATTACCAAATGAACTGACAATGTATAACACAAAGTGAAATATTACAAATTCATTTTAAATAAAATTTCACAACTACAGGAATAAATGCATCACAGGTGTTTCTAGATTTAACCTCATTATGTACCTTATTTCTCTTAGAACAATTTAAGATTGTTTATATCAAGAAACCTCTAGCTGAAAAATTATCCATTGGCTTATTTTAAATTTTGAATTGAGTGCTTATGATTATAAAGCTGCACAAAGTTCACTGGAAATTAGAAACATAACACAGTTCCAAGTGGCAACATATCCTAAGCAACTCAAATTAACAGCCATCTGCTCACATGCAGACCCAGTAATACAAAGGTTTCTTCCTCACATCTACCCATAAAACAGTGGAGAAAGACTGCTGAGCAGCAGGACATTGCAATTGAAACAATTGAGTTAGTTTTCTAGTTTTGTGAATAAAAATTTATACACTCCTGGTAGATTAGGAACATGGTCCTTTATTTTCTCATACTTGTAGCTAGATGTTTGAAATCACTTTGCACACTCCTTCTAAAAGTTAAAGTAATTGATCGTGGTCTTGCCCAACATGGGGAGGCTTCCAGCATGCCTCAGTTTATAGCAATGTAGCGCCACTATTTTCCTGCATCTTCAAACAATTGTCTTCCCTCTGTCTATCAATTTTTTTTCTCCTTTGCCTTCCAAATAAATTAACAACTAACTTCAGGTTTTCTGATTCTTGATGAAAAGAGATCTCATCTTGAGATTTATTAACTTAATTATATCCACAAAGTATTTTCACACAAGCTCTCAAACAAATCTACCAAAGTTAATACTTGTATATATTATTTTTTCTAGTCCATGACATACATTGCTGTGGTGGTTTGATTGAGAATGTCCCCTACTTGGCACAAATATTTGAACACATGGTCTCCAGTTTGGAGGTGCTATTTGAGGGTGGTAAGAAGGTTTAACTTTGCTTAAGGAAGTGTGTCCCTGATGGTTGGATTTGTGAGTTCATAGCCTTGTTCCACTTCAGTTTCCTCTTTCTGTTTCTTGTATGCTCTTAAAGATGTGAGCTCTCAGCTTTTTGTTCTGACTTCCCTGTCATGAAGGACTATTCTTACTGGAACCGTAAGTTCAAATAAACTCTTCCTGCCGAAAGCTGCCTTGATCATGAAGTTTTATGACAGCAGCAGAAAAGTAACTAATACAGAAGTTAGTATCAGAGAGTGGGCTGTTGCTGTGAAGAATATGCCCATGATGATTTTTTTTTGGAAGAATATGGAAGATTTTGAAACTTTGGGCTAGAAAAGTAGTTGACTGTGTAAGCAGAACTTACATGTCATCCTAACAGGAGCCTGAATTCAGAAAGTGGAGGCCAGACTCATGCTATTTCAGAGCAGAATCAGGAGGTTTCAAATAGCACCTGGGCTAAAGGCCAGTCCTGTGATGTTCTAGGAAAGAATCTGGATAACTTCTGCCTGTATTCTAAGAAATTCCTGAGGCTAAATTAAAAAGTATTAGACTATATACTTATCTGGCAGGGGAGATATAATGATCCCAAGGTGATTTTCCCAGGGTGAGGCTTATCCATTGCACACCTGATATGCTGACCCCTGAGATTTCCCCAAATTCAGGGAAACTCGACTGCATAATTTGTAATAGTGGGGGACTGCATTCTCACTTCCCCCACTATAAAAAATAAAAATAAGTAAAATAAATAATGGACTAATTTCTTTGATAGAGGAGATTTCAAGACAGTCTAATCTTGAATATGTGATGTGGCTTATAATGGTGACTTTTTGGCCGCTCTAAATAAAAAAAAGAGTATATAAAGGAGAAAGCAATACAAAATGTACAATTTTTAGAGGAAAAGAGCACTTGGAACCATAATGTTGAAGCCAAGGAATGTGCTGGAAGGGAGGCTGTGATTAATTAGGAGATTAAATCCATTAAAGCCATTAAGGAGAGGCCTCCTGCTCTGTACTGGAAACAATAAGAAGGGTTCCCACAGGGTAAGGCCTCACTAAGCTTAGCTTTCAAATTGTGAAGGGAGAAAGCAAGAGATTTTTGATCCTGGAAAATCACAATGTACAAAAGCTTCTATAAATATGAGTCAAAGGGGCTAGGGTCCGTCGCAAGATGGCAGTTGAACTTGCATTTTCAGAGTTTAAATGTCTTATCCACTCCATCTTTGATCCCTGCAACATGTGTCTCCTTTCAGGCTGGTTCCAATCCATGCGTGCAGCACTCCTTGGCAGATGACTCATACCTCTGGCACCTCACATAGTGAAAAAAAAAATACATTTGTCTAGAGATGTGTAAGACATAGGCTTTTTTCTAGGATCTATGACCTATCCAGTCATGTATATTTAGTTATGTTTACAGTACTACACCTGAGTTCCTTACCATTAGGTTGGGCATTTAAGTCCAATTAGATAGTTGGTTATTGCCATCATGATAAACATGTCTCTACTGAACCAATAGAGACAGTTTGCTTTGCCAGTCATTGCTGTAGTTATTAGGCTTGTAGCTGCATTGGACCATTGGTTGATTTGCTGCCTTAGAAGATTGCAGAGTATCCTCTGGTACTATGAGAGCTAGACTTCAGGGAAGACTCTTCTAGGTCAATTTCAGTTCCATTACATTAAGGCCTGTGTTTGGAATATATTCTGTCTTCAGCAATATTGTCTTACATTCAAGCTCTGCAAGGCATTCAAAAATGGTGGCAATAGCCTGTGTTATTTTGGTAGTCTCTTGAACTACTCTGACCAACAACTTGAAGGGAGGTTTCTACTGTCTGGCACTGTGTTTCTTGTTACATAGCCACATGTCTAAGTAACACTTTAAAAAAGTGTTCAACATCCTTAGTAATTAGGGAAATGCAAACCAAAACCATTTTAAGATGTCATCTTATCTCAGGCAGAAAGGCTAAGCTCAAGGGAACAGATGACACAAAATGCTAGCAAGGATGTGGGAAAAGGGGAATGCTCATTTACTGCAGATGGGATTGTAAACTTGTGCAATCACTGTGGAAAGCAATGGAAAACTCTTAAACAGCTAAAAATAAATCTACCTATGATCTAGTTTTACAACTCCTTGGCATATACCCAAAGGATTCATTCTACTATAGAGATACTTATGCAGCCTTGTTTGCTGCTGCATTTTTTTCACTGTAACTAAGACATGGGAAAAATCTAAATGTCCTTCAACTGCTGAATGCACAATGAAAATGTGGTACATTTACACAAGGGTTTTATACTAAGTGGTTAAGAAAACTAAAATCATGAAATTTCCAGGGAATGAATGGAACTAGAAGCTGTTTTACTAAGTGAAACAGCGCAGATTCAGAAAAACAAGGGACATATGTTTCCTTATCTTAGCTCCAAATGCTTAAGTGCAAATATTTATCCTCATGTAACCACAGGAATCAGGAAAATGGAAAGGAACCACTGGGATAAAGGGTCAAAAAAAGTTCAAAGGAGGGAGCTAGTAAGATACAGGTGTTACCAAGTGGGACATGGGAAAAATGGGGATATTTAAGTGGGAAGGGAGGGAGAGGCTTGTACAAGGAACCATAAGGAGAAAGTAGAAGATGGAGCCCAAGTGAGGAAGATAGAAGGAGACAGGTATTTATAAGAGGGAAATGGGGAAAGCTGTGTACTGTACCTGGGGAGGGAAGATAAAGGATTATTCATGGGGAGAGAGAAAAGAGATAAATAAAGCTTAGATGGTGTGAAAAAAACACAGGAAACTGTTTTAGAAAAAAGGTTTTAATAAGCATATATTGAAATAAATTTGTTTCCTCGGGATATTTTAATTTCATTCACTAACAAATATTATGCCCTTACACTTTTGTTTTTCTTTGGCTAATTCCCTTTATTATTAATCTCTGTAACACCCAAACCTTGCCAGGTATATAACCTTGCCAGGTAATCACTTTTGTAGCACCCATTGCAACAACAGTGGAGGCAACTGGTTGCTTCACCGTGTCACTCTACAGTAAATTTTGATGTTACAGTCGTGGTGATTTTGCTGTATTAAATGTACATCTGAACCAGTTTGTAAGCCAAGATTCCAGAGAGGCTGAAGCAGAGCTATGGAGTTGGAGAAGGTTTATCTCATAGGTTATAGACTCACTGTTTCTGACAGAGAACTTCTATGCCCAAGGCTATAGTAATAAAGACATGGGATATGGGAATTCCTTTGTGAGACATTGATAGTCCCAAGGTGTGTTTAATGATACTACAGCTAGAGATGTAATCTTTAAGCATGATAGTACATCTTGCTAGAAATTAAATGAACTATTGATAATTACTTAATGGGTTACTTTTCTTTATTGCTGGCCTGTAAACAATGCTGCTTGCATGAACTCACGAGACTTAGTTCAATGGCAGTAACAAATAATTCCATATTGAGAACCTTGTCCACCCTTGGTGCTATTCCTCGACTTTCAGGCCTATTATTGGCCTTGTAGATTGTGCACCAGTCGATCCCATCCTGGTGAGTTCTCCAGAGTTTTTCTACTTTGCTTCCAACTCCACATTGTCAGACATATCTAGTGCTGTGCAACCAGCGCACGAGGCGAGTCAAACCCACTCAGGAGTCATATTTGTATGCTTTCTTAGTTATCACTGAAGTGAAATCACTCTTGTCCCTCCAGCAAAAAGTCAACACCGAACATCTGAAGAACTGAGTTCTAAAGTCTTCATACCTGCTCTCAAATCTGCTGTTTTTGCAATAAGAAAAACTGAACCAAATTTCCACTCAAAAGACTGACTAGAATTTCATATCAGACACTCAAGTAACAAAAGAATTCATCATTTTCAGGTAGAGTAACAAAAGATCCCATGTCAACACTAATTTAAATATTGAAGAGCATATGTAAGAAGGAGAGATCAGTATATAAAAGCTTCTTTAATTCTAAAACTGAGTAAAAATCCTGATTATCATATTCAAACTTTGTTCTGTGCTTGAGTGAGAGGTTTGAGATAGCTTCATGAAATC